CAAACTATTCTATGATTCTATGATTTCCTAGCTCATAGTCTGCAACATTTCTTACCAATGGCAAGTAAGATTTTCAAAATACCATTCTCAGGGAAAAAAAGTATACAAAGAAGAAAGAGAGGGAGTAAGCATTGACAGTTACTTTTATCTCCTTGGAGAAAGAATACAGGGAAAAGGAATATAGGAAGTAAGAGTTATCTATGATTTTCTCAAGCCCACATTAAACCAGTTATATAGTGAGCTAAAATGCATGTAAAGGACTGCCTGTGTGCTTATGTAAATTGAAGATGAAACAAAGTTGAAAGACATTGACAGAAAATTAGATGACTTTGTCAACTACAGTGCTAGAAAAGGAGTTAAATATTAACAGCACAGACTGCAAAATTATGGTTTTAGACACAAACTAAAACAGACTTCTGAGTTGAAGATAAGTAAGATAAGAGGGGAAAAAACCCTGCATGGACTGTCTGATGTCAGGACTTTTAAGTTGCCAAAATAAAGCAGCTGTGCAAAAGGCTAATGCAACTCTAGCATGTACTAGTGAGCTATTTTTAGCAGAGACAGGAAAGTGGAAAGCATTAATACTATCTTACAATGCACAGCTAAATCTTCATTTGAAATTCCATGTACAGTGCTCTGTTTAAGAGTGATGAACTAAAATTGGATGAGGTGTAAAAAAGGGATATTAAAATGATTAGAGTGATGAAATACCTATTTTGAACTTGGCTTGCTTGCCTTAGCCAAAGCTTGAGAAGTGATATAATGCCTCTTTATAGGAACATATGAGAAGGGGTAACTTTTGAGGGGGAGAGAGAGAGAAATTTTCAAGGGAAAATGAAATTTAAGATAATTGCCTAATATCCAACAGTCCTGAGTAAATTTAAACTGGAAATTAAAGTACGGTTTCTAAGTACCTTGGAGTAGAGCCATGGAATGACCTCCAAATCAGATCACGAACATCACTTGTGTTCAGATGAAGCTTTACAAAGTTATGGAAAAGACTGTATCATTGAGAAGCTAATGCACTGACATCTCAAGGGATTTCTGAAGAAGTTGGATGAATTATTTGTATTACAATTATTGTACTAAATCCAGGCTTTGGATTTTGTCCCTTGATTGCATCAATCAGCCAAGAAATCACCTTATCATAGGACAAATTAATATATAAACTTTAAAAAAAAACCCCAAAAGATAACTTCTTTTAAGTGTTCAGCACCCAGATCTTTTAGTTCTCCAACAACACAACTTAATCTACAGAATGCTTTCAGATCTCTGTTATACCAATAATATACCAGTAATATACCAATGTAACGAGCATTTTTCCAAAATTCTTCAATTTATTTTTCAGAGCATCATTGTGGACAAATTGAAAAGCCAAATGCTGGTGACCCGCTGTCCCAAGAACTAGAATCATACTGTTTTTCAAAACATTGATTGGCTGATATCTATTTGGGGATTTTTATTAGAACTTTATTAGACCATATTAGACTATAATACGACTAACTAATTGAGCTGCACTGAGAAATTCAGTAAAGACAATTGGCAATACTTGGTAACTGTTAACAGATCTGACCAAAACAGCTGCGTAGCTCATTTCTCAGAAGCATCTGCAATTTTTCTACAGCTAGAAGTCTGATTCATACATGTACACCTGAACGTCTGAACATGCCAAGTTACGGACTGAAATCTGGAGACTACATTTTGGAATCTGTTTTTCATGTCTCATCAAGAATTTTTATTTCCTAAGATGTTATGAGATTTCCACCATTAAATATGAAACAAGTTAAAAAGCTTTGGAGCACCAGCTAAAAAGACTTCATCGAATATAGAGTTATCTTATATTAAACAACAAAAAGACATAAGAACACAACAGGGAATAGAAGCTGAATTGGACTAGAAAGATTGTAATTCCTTTTGCACTTCAGATGATCTGGTACAATATTGATAGTGAAAGGGTGATGATAAAAAATCTCCAGTATGCATTTTAAGGAGTGTTACAAACTTGTCAAATATAAGAGTGATTTGCCTACTTCAATTTTCCTGAAAACATTTGTTTTAAAATGAGATCACTTAATGCAGTTTGTGTCTCCTATGTAAACACACTAAATAGAACAGTGATGAACACACTATTCACTAGTGACAAAAAGAAGAGAAATAATTAAAAAAACAAAGAGCCAAACCTCTACTCTGGGATTTTTGGACCAAGGCAAGGAAAACTTAATAAAAAGATGAAAGCTACCTTCAACATAATTCACACTGAAAAATAATCCTTGCTTGAAGAAATTACTTGTATGTAAAGCATATGCTGAATATTCTGCTTCCAGGCTGAGGTCCTTCCAGCACTTGTCGTTTGCTTTATAGCAGCCAATCCAAACTCAGAAAACGAACTTTAAGTACCAGTGGCTTACCTTGGCACGACTTGCTGTCCGAGGCGGGAGTGAACCCCATCTCACACTCGCAACGGTAGGCTCCAGGGACATTCAAACACTGCCCATTTTCACACAGATTAACATTTTCTGCACACTCATCAACATCTGTGGGAGACAGAAAATTTCTTTGAAACTAAATGTTTCACTAGCAAAATACAAATAATATTATCCTGACGTTGAAAATAATAGTGCTGTTGAGTATTGTTGATATAAAACAAAACATTTACACCTGAAGATGAAGTAAATTGAAAGAATGCTGAAAAGCAAACAAAATGTCATTTCCAAAATTGTTCCCTTTACCCTGCCAAGATTCCTTACTCTTTGTTTTTCATTAACAGATCAGTATTTTTTGTTAATAATGCAAGGTTTTCAGACGCAGTACTATTAGATTTGACAAATAAGTTGAATACTTTGCTTACAAGGTCAAAACTTTGTCTCCTGGTATATATTGCTATGTTACTTTGACATAAAACACATTCAAAAGGCAAATTTTCTTAAGTAAGTGAATCATACATAGAAAATTATTTTCATAAGCATTTTAGAAAATATTCTTTGATGTCATAATATGAACATTACAAGTACCATTTGCACACTCTGGGGATTCTTCTAGTATGCCCCAAAAGTGATTCTTTTTTTTTTTAAGAGGTATAAAAGAGCAGAATGACAAAGGCAGGCATTCACCATTGCAGTCATCATAAAGACTCATAATTTTGTCAGATATGCTTATGATTGCCCCAAAAAATTTTCAATACACTTTCTTCATTTTCTTAGTCAATCTCTAGTATCCCATCTGATTTTTAAAAAACAGAAGATCTGAAACATAGTGTGTTAGTAATAGGTATGAAAGTTCTTGTTCATTAACCACAAACCTGAAACACATAAACAAATAATATTTGAAGATCCTTATTCTGAAATAAAAAAAACTTACAATACTAATCAGAAAATTGGCTTGTTAAGGTGTAAATTCATTTTGATTTAAAATTAGCCAGTTAGCTAGTAATTAATGCATTCACATTCACATTCACCTAGTTTCTAGGTATTTTACTATCATTAGGATGCATTCCTTCAAACCTTCAAATCTGCTGACCACATACAGGATACGTTAGAATTCAAGAGCAGAGATATTGTTGCATCTCCACTCTGTAAGTGATAAAAACCACAGTAACTCAACACTCAGCCATTAATGTTCAATATAAAATCTTCACACTTTTATATAATCCTTTACACATCAGTTTATTTTGAATCACTTGCTGAATGCTAAACAATGTTCATTCTTAATAGTGAGCATTTACCAACAGATTTAAATGCAGAGATCATGGGCAGTATTTTTCAATTGTAATTTGTTTTTCTTTTTAGAAAGTCCTATGTTAACGATTAAATCCTGTTCAACTAACACAGTGAGGGGAAAACAGATGATGCCTTCCCTGCCAAAGACAGACCTGGCCTACAAGACAGGAACCATTAACAGAGAACTGGTGTTTTGTGTTCTTGACCAGAAAGCCTGCGGCTGCAAGCAGCACATGCACATTCAAAAAAATTGGCATGGAGGAGGAGGAGGAGGAGGAGGAGGAGGACGCAGCAGCAGACAGGAACTTCACCCAACAAATGGGCCTAGTGGGTCCAATTTGGCACAAAAATCAAAAGAACAATCAGTTGTCTTTGCTAGCATTTTTTTAGCAGATGGGAAGAAAACTGATCTTGAAAGACACTTTTACGTTTATTATCTTGCACTTCGGGCTTAGATCTAATTTGCAAAGCTTCCATACAACAGAAACAATGTGTGACAAGTCAGCTTTCACAGAAACTTCTTTACCAGAACAAGTAAAGCCATCCCCAGTGAATCCCTCTGCACAGGCACAGCGATACGACCCTGGGGTGTTCACACACTGAGCGTTCACGCTGCACTGGTGGGTCCCATTGGAGCATTCATCAAGATCTGCACATCAGGGGCAAAAGAGTGCAAGCAGTAACAGAGCAGTTAGTATACTTGGCTTACAATTAACTGTCAAGCTAACAAGCGCAACTGCAAAGATGATTTATGTCTCCATAAACATACAAAGTTCTCATTAGAAGATACAGGGTTAATCTATAGTGATTTCATTTTAATATTTCTTCCTTTAGATTAAAATGCATGGGATTGGGTACAATGTTTCCAAGCAACAGATGGAATTCAGCTGACTCATTACTTGAATGTTAACATCCTGTTAAAGAACTTGAATTCAAAATGAGTTAAAAACCCAATAAACCAAAGAAATACAGCGAGATGAAAATCTGCCGTACATTTCGAGAGTCTTCTCAAGTAATAGAAGAATGTGACAACAACGTAACCCCATGAAAGTTAATGCAAGCTTTCTTATTTACTTGGATGTCAACCTGGATGGGGGAAAAAAAAAAAAAAGAAAAAAGAAAACAAAAAAAGAAGAGACTTTCCCATGCCCCCCAAAATGGGCATGTTTGATGGGAATGGCCATGTGGGTCCATGACGTACGAGTCACACTAGCTAGGGCTACGGGGTAACGGACAGTCCCTTCTGACTCATCTGCAGAGTAGTCTCCTGGAAGAACACTATACCCAGGAGCTATTCTAACTATGAGAATGCTGCTGGAAAAAACTTTTTAAAGTTTTCTCCTTCAAATGGGACTTTTTATTTACTTAGTAGAACCTCACACACTTTTAATTAAATGATAATAATAAGGACCAAGGGGCCTTCCCCTTTTTCTCAGATATGGCTTAAAAAGCTTAGAAAATCTGGCCTGTAGTAAAATCTCATAATATGGTACTTTCTCTTTCACATATTACACCAATAAAGCCTAATTCTTAAACGAAGCTCCTCTTCCATAGATCCCAAAATGTTCTGAAAAAAAAGATAAACATTACAATCTTTTACACATCAAACTAAAAAATGAAGGCAAGGAGATCTAATGCTACTCTAGCAGCCCAGCAAAAGTAGAATCAAGTTTCCCATACCTCAAGTCCGATCTGTTTTATGTTAAGGCCTATAAACTAGGTATACTACGGGTCATTTACAAAAAATGGCATTAAGTAAGAGGAACAGTATCTTACTGGCAGGAAATCACAAAACAAATTCCATTTTATTTTTGACTGATTTTTTTTATTTTGCACATTCTAGCAGTTGTATGTAAACTTCGTAAAATACATAGTTAATTCAGTAAGATGTTACACAGACAGGCTTCTGAGACAAAACCAGTTTTTTTCTCAGAAAACCAAACCCCTGAAACATAAGAATCTTGCACATTCATTTATCCACAGAGTGCAGCAGATAGAAGAATAATACTTCGCTTCTAATGGAGTAATCACACAGTCACATTACTTGCTTTCATTAAATAAAAAAAAAAGAAAAAAAGAAAAAAGAGGAAAGCTTTATTTTCTGTACACTTACCAATACATTTAATGCCATTTCCAACCCATCCTTCTCTGCAACTACATTTAAAACTTCCTGGTACGTTGACACATAAGGCATGCACGTCACAGTTGTGAGCACCAATTTCGCACTCATCCACGTCTACAAGCACAAAATAAACTATTAGTATTTACATCAGGAGCACCGGAATATTACAAATTATGTACCTTTTACATGTCGCTTATTTCCACTGTGCAGGTTTGCAGTCCTTTAAAAAACAAACATTCAAGACTACAGAATAATTCAAGCAAGTTACTTCATATTATACATTCATAAAAAATAGAGACAGCTGTATTTTATTTTGTTCTTTGTTTGTAAACATGACAAAATTAGTCTGCTTTCCTACAACTGCTTTTCAGTTTGAAATGAAAGCTATTTTCCAGACATATTAAATATGCTGATCTTTATACGTCTAAAAATGGGATAAGACCTTTGCATAGGCACATTTCGGTTATAAAAATTAGTCCAAGATTTAGTAATTATAGAACAAATTCTTAAAGACCAAACTATAGGAGAAATTGTGTCAACTTTCCCAGAAGAATAATTTTGGATGAACTTATGTCGTGGTTTAACCCGGCAGGCAGCTAAAAACCACACAGCCGTTCACTTGCTCCCCCCCAGTGGAATGGGGGAGAGAATCAGAAAAAGGTAAAACTCGTGGGCTGAGATAAAGACAATTTAATAGGACAGAAAAGGAAGGGAAAGTAATAATAATAATGATGATAAAAGAATATACAAAACAAATGATGCACAATGCAATTGCTCACCACCCGCTGACCAACGCCCCCCAGTCCCCAGGCAGCAGCCACACCCTGCCCTGGCCAACTCCCCCAGTTTTTGTTCAGCATGATGTCTTATGGTATGGAATATCCCTTTGGCCAGTTTGGGTCAGCTGTCCTGGCTGTGTCCCCTCCCAGCTTCTTGTGCACCTCCAGCCTCCTTGCTGGCAGGGCAGTCTGAGAAGCTGAAAAGTCCTTGACTTAGTGTAAGCACTGCTCAGCAACAACTAAAATATCAATGTGTTATCAACATTATTCTCACACTAAATCCAAAACACAGCACTATACCAGCTACTGGGAAGAAAATTAACTCTATCCCAGCTGACACCGGGATACCTTAGCCTCCTGAACACAGTGGACCCAGCTTGCAGAAGACAAGGTACTGCTTAACTATCACAGAAACTGACTATGATTCTTTAAAATTTGTTAGCATGTGTTGAAGGATGGCATATACTTTGCTTTTTACATCATCGCTTTTTTTCATTCTTTTCTTTTACTTTTTTTTCCTTTTTCGTGTTCTCTGACTACAGGGTCATTTCCTGCAGCTTTAGTTGACAGATGAGTTCATACTTCAAGTATGTATGACAAATGAGCACTGATAAAATACTTCTAATACAAATGCAGTTGTGCCCACCTAAGCTATATTTCGTACCACAGATACTCTCCCAATCTATACTGATAAAAGCTTTGCCTTTAAAATTACAATTATGTAAGGGGCTCTTCATATCATATTGATACTGGTCAAGGAATGTACCTTCTCAAACTCTGGATACATGCTGACAAATGTAAAATACTTACTCTTATATTTATTATTATGTACAGATACCAATCTCTCACTTGTGTGTGAACACTTGTGCATTTATTTTACCTGAAAGCCAACCAAGATATGTGCACACCATGACATATATGCTGGAAATTGGCTTTACCTGTGCATCCAGTGGTTCCCTTCTTGACTGAATATCCTAGCTGACAGTGACAAATGAAGGAACCTTTAGTGTTTTCACACTCCCCAAACATACAGATGTTGGAATTCAAATCACATTCATTCACATCTGTAAGTGCACATAAATTCATTATTAGTTGAACATTACTGTAATTTAACAGTATACTTTCTCTTTTTGGGATACTTTCATTCAGGTGAAAATATCAGAAGCATGGTCCACCCCTATGACATGTGACATTTATTCATCTTCATCATAATACATTTCAGCCATTCCTTTCTATATTTTTTTAATTCTCTAAAAACAAGTAAGGATGAATGTGTAGTCCAAATACCACAGTGTTTTCAAATTTGTTTAGAATGCTAATTATTGGACTATGAAGTCAACTACTTCTTACAAGAATCACTTTAAAATATTTTTAAAAAACATGTTCTTGATCATAATACAGCTATAATTTTCTTCCAAAGAAGAATTAATACAGTAAGTTGATTATTTTTCCTGTACTGATATTATCTACAGATTTCAATTTGCACATTTTGATCACTATTTAAAATTGAATATTGATATATACAAGTGTGTCGATACTTCTGAATAGCATCTGTCAAAATCATAAAAAATAATAATAAAGTAAACTCAAACAGTTTTTTTAATAAGAATTCAACTTAGGAAAGACAATGAATCTTATGAAACAATGGAACTAGTATAAGAACCAACTAGAATTGGGCACCTGTCAAGTGGGTAACTGAGGAGTTTCATATGAGTGTTCTGAGTCTTACTGCAGTGGAGTCATATGGCCCAAGAGTTTTCAAATACCTTGTCCAGTATTTCCATTGGTCCCTTGAAATTATATTAACTAACAGTATTATACTATGGCATTAAAGAGAGTCACTGTACTGTGGACGAAAAGGCATTTCTGGTATTTGCAGTTGGCCTTTTGAGTGAAGTAAGATGTCATGTAACGCAGCCAAAGCAGAGGCTGACATCACATGTAAATTAAAAGTATATTAATTAGGATGTAATTAATATTAGTTTGCCTTAAACCCCAATATAAGCATATTAGAACAGTGTTACTAGCAATAGCATGTAAGTGCTGTGTAATACTGTGATGGCAAAGCCAGCACAGTTTTGCATAAGGATGTGGGCAAGGAGACTGCCAATAGGACAAAGAAAGATGGGTGTAGTTGAATGTAGGACACATCAAAGTCACAGAAATTGCCAGACAAAGGACAGTATAAGCACAAGGGACTGCAGATAGGCAGGAAAACCTCACAGGTACACCACAAGAATGACTGGCAAGACAAGAAAACAAGATAAGCTCTACAAGGAGTAGAAGAGACCCTGCTTTTTGTGAGGGGGGCAACAGCATAAAAACATAAGCATGGAAAATTGGAGAAGAAAGAAGACAGACCCACTTCAGTTCCAGCTTTTCTTGTAGATAAGCGCTCAAGCCCGATCATCTTGACTTTTGTGAATAAGCAACACCAAGGGCTGGAATCCATGCAAACTACCTGTAACAGCTATGTGGTATTGTATACTTGCATATAATTTAGAATGTGATTGTTAAAAACTAACAGTTTTGTATGTGCAGTGATAATGATAAATATTGTATAAGAACTGACCATTGGCAATGTGTTGTTATTAAATGAATTTTGTAAAATTTAGTTTTGTGTTTTAAAACAGGGCTGATTTCGTCAGTCTTCTGAATACTCTCACTACAGCAACCTTTATTTCCCTAGTATATTCAGTTGTCACACTAGGAGGCAAAGGAAAGCTGCCATACTTTAAGTCTCCTCAGTTGCAGGAGCTGCAGACTTACCTCTGTAGTTCTGCTTGCCGAGACACCCCTGGAACATAAGAATTGACCTGCTTCCTCCAAAGTCTCACTGGAAAAGCCTGAACTATGAAGCATATCAAATAGGGAACTCTTAACACCACAAGGAAACTTCAAACTCCTTCTCTTAGTAGCTCATGGCTATGAGTAGCTCTGGCACAGCCTTCCATTTAGGTTTCGTAGAATGCCTATGGATCATTGGCAGCTTTTTAGTACAGACCTTTACCTATCACTCTGCTATGCCATTAGAAAATGGGTAGCTAGGAAATAATTTTTAGTAATGATCCCAAGTGTGTATGTGTGTGTGTTGTGTGTTGGGGCAAATTCCTTGCTGACAAGAAACAAAGTCCCTCTGATTTTGAAAGAAGCTGAAAGAAACTTCAAGACATTTCAAGAGAGGAAGAAAAATCAAAATGTCTATCAAAGCGGAGGTTAAGTAGGAATGAAAGAAGAGGTCAATAACCATTGTCCTAACAGTGTTGCTGAAAGCCAATTTGGGAGAGGGTAAAGAGCAGAGACATTAAGAGCATGCCCTTGACAAGAAATGCTTCCAAAAGTTAGAGCTATCTCTGGCACATACAAAGACACAAAGCCACCACAAAGGCAACATTCAAGGAGAAGTCCAGCTGCAGGTGGACAGGGGAAAGACCCTTGCAGAAAGAGCAAGTGATAAGCCACAACCACAAAGTTTTCCGACAACCATATTAAAAAAAAAAATAGCCACAAGGCAAAACAGGTCATCAGGACTGTAGATGTGCTCCTGTGCCAGACTCCCTTCCCAGACACCTCAACAATGTGACTGCTCAGCACTTGCTGCCTTGATGCAGACTGAAGTTTCAAGAGAGAGGTAAGTTTGCTACTGATGTCTCCCTGTTCTTCCCAATTTCACTGAGCATTGCATATATGACAAAAGCTTTCCATTAGGAAGAAAACCTCTCCTAAAGAGTAATGTAGTTTGTACTGAACTGTGTTTTAGATTCTTGTACTGTATGCTAAATCTTCAACAGAGGCTTTCAACTATAATACAAGGCTTTAACATTATTCTAGAATTTACCTTATTTGGAAGCTGAATAGTTGATAATTAAAGACCTGGTTAAAAACTTGTAGTTAAAACGCAGTCTTATTATGAGTTACACCTATGTCAACTTTTTGACTTTATTCAAATAGCTCCCATTTTACACCAGTTAAATGGCAAAGATCATCTAATTTCACATACTGTCAAATAAATACAAGATATTGCAAATATTTCTGCTGAAAAAACATCAAGTACTTTGTTGAAAGAAGCGTTAGGTCCAGTATGACACTGTAGTTAGCCCAAAGGCTTTTTGACAAACTGGATGATGCTGTTAGCAAGGAAAGCAATTACATACATGGCAGAAATTCACACTTCCTCACTGTAAGTTTCTAACCTTAATATCAGATACTGTTTTCCTAGAAAAGAACATTTAAGAGCAGTTGAGTATAAAATGAAAAAAAGTATTCTGATTTTACAGCTACTAACATGGCTAATACGGAAAAAATTATTGAATAGGTCAGTTCTAAACTTTCACGTCGGTTGCACAAACATGGAGTATGTCCACAAAACTGAGAACAAGAACCTGGAATAACATAGAAGTGAAGGTGAAAAGAAAATCTTAAATTCAACTCTAACTCTGGAAAAAAGGAGACAAAATCAGCTCAGGACAGCTTTGCTCAGCATTACATGTAACTAGTTTCTCCTCTGTGTGTATGTCTGTGTGAGTGTGCACACGTGCAAAGTGAAGGTTTGTTTGACAGATGCTCACAAAATGTAAAAAGATGTTATTAGTATAGCCAAAATCACCTTAAAATATGAAACATATGAAACTTTATATTAAATGTAAACGGTAAGAACTTCATATAAACACCAAGATAAACTAAACAGGTTAGGTTAATTTGAGGAGATACTTTTATTTTAATTTCCTTTATAACTACTCATGAGAACTTTCTGTAGTTGAGGGAATAAACGGAAACATTTACAAGAGAAGAAAATGCTGGGGCACTCAGAAAATCTCTTCTCAATAGAGATGTTTTAGAGGAATCATATCATTACAATTAAATCACTCCTATTTTTGGAACTATGTGATCTGATTCATCTTTATGGACTTTTCAAATTTTTTTCTATCCTTCCTGACATCTATAGTGATAGTCAAGAAAGACCTACAGATTTTTTTTTTTTTTAATAATATACGTAGTTTCAATATATACTTTCAAGGATTCAGAACATCCTAAAGCATTAGCTGCAGAATCTTTAGACTTGCATTAAATTTGGTGCATACAGCTACTTACCAATACAAGTTTTCATGTCCATAGAAGCCATAAATCCGTCATAACAGAGACAGCGATATTCCCCTGGAATATTAGTACATTGCCCACCATCACAGATATCTGGGTTGGTTTCACATTCATCAATATCTGGGGGGGGGGGCGGAAAAAGATAAGATAATAATTCTTTCACTCTGGTACGGATTGGCTAAAAGAATACCATGTTCATATGGTTGGCTGAAAGATATGATGCTGGAACTTTTAAGATATTAAAACCTACCTGCACATGTCCTGACATCCGGCATTAGAGCATAGCCGTCACTGCAGCTACATTCATAGCTGCCTTCCGAGTTAGTGCAGTGAGTGTCACAGCCTCCATTCATTATCATGCATTCATCAATATCTGGGGAAGCAACATTAGTAGTAGTAAGTCTACTTTTATAAGGAAAAGTAATCTTCTGTTGGCATTTTACTTAGCAGATGAAACCATTTATCAGTGATATGATTCTGAATTTTTATTCTCACTCTGCTCTCTCTGATTTATATTTTGTTCAGCTTTCTCTCTTTCAACCACATTTTTATCTGTGGGAGTAAGTGGCTACTTTTAGTTGTTGCTTTTGTTCATATGTATCACTATGGATGTAAAAAAAAGTGCAAAAGACAACATGTGGAAAGGAAAGAAAGAAAAGCCCTGAGAAAATCAGGTTTCTTTAAAGCTTGAAATGTAGCACAAATTTATATTTTTGCAAAAAATCCCACCAAAACCAACAAATAAAAGAAACTCTCAATACTTCTTTTCTCCTCAGCAATGTGATGACAACTACATAATTCAGTACTACTGTAGTGAAGGATTTAAGAGATGTATACAATAAAGAGAAAAAGTGAAAGAGAAACTATCAATGCATGGGGCTGTTCTTGCTTGATCAAAAAATCAAGCAATATTTTCTGTTTGTTAGCTCAAGCCTCTGATTTTAATGGAGTAGTACCTAAGAATATTTTCTCTCTAAGTATTCTGCAGAGTTCAGTACAGCAACAATATTTTTATACCTTCTTTATATTTCTAAGGTAAAAGAAGGGTCCATGATAGTTCATGATATGCTTAACAGCAGATGAGAAGATGGCTCTGCTCAGTTTCAAGAGGAAGGTATGACATTAAATAAAAACAAAGACAGATGAAACAATATATGCTGGAGCACAAATACATAGGTGAAGGTGTACAACACTTGCCTACGCAGCCTTGTCTGTCAGGAGTGGCCTGGTACCCAGAGTTACAGGAACACTGGTATGTTCCAACCATGTTCACACACTTGCCATTTTTGCAGAGACTGTCACTTAAAGAGCACTCATTTACATCTGGAAAAGAATCATTCGTATCAATTAACTTGTTACTCAGAATGCAGACTCTAACTGCCAAATGCCAGAGAAAGAGGGTGAGAGGCAGTATTTTAAACTGGTGGTTTTCGGGCTTTTTCAATTTTTTTCTTGTTCTTAGCATGTTCCAGCCAGTGTCCAAAGATTTATCTTCTTTGTTTCTGGTCTGTGAGTATTAACTACACAGTCTGCTGGTTTAAACCAACTCTTGAAGCAACTATGCATCAAACACAGAAACCAAAGAGATAATATGCACTATGTTTCTTGCATGTTTTTCACCATTTTGGTGAATTATATGCAAAAAGGAGAGCTGCATTTCAGTAAGAGGCAATACTTTTTTGTGACTGTAGGAACGAAGTTCATTTTGTGCTTGTATGTATTTTACTTGAAAGTTGCCAGCATGAGTGGTACAGTCCTTTGAGTCGCTAAATAATCCCTAAGAGGCCTGGTAAAATACTCCTCTCTGAAGTCAACAGTGTTAAAGGCACTGGAAATTTTACAGGATCTGTTACAAGGTTTTAATTTGAAGATACTCATATAAAGGAGGAGCATGAATTTGTATAAGATATTCTTGAGACCCCATCCTTGCCAGAGACAAGAATGTTTCATAGCACAGATGACCATTCTTCTTAGAAAGCTGAAGACTACTATTCTGAGTTGAAACTCACCTATGCATTCCTCACGTGATGGTGACAGCTCATGTCCCAAAGGACAGTCACACTGAAAACTCCCTTCGGTGTTCACACATGTGCCACCTCTACACAGCAGAGGGTTCCGTTCACATTCATCAATATCTGCGAAGAAACCACGATAAATAAATATAAAATCATTACTAAGGAGCAACAAAGAGAAAAGCAATTCTCAGTGTCTGTAAGTGACAAAATCTGGAGGTCAGAAATAAAGGAATTGTTTCATTGAAGCAGTGCGGCTCCTTTCTCATACTGCATAACAGGGCAAACAAAAAACTATACATTATTAACTCTAAAAATGGGTATTTTCCTCCTCAAAAAAACCAGAAATTCATCATTCAAAATTAAGTATTCTAGGAGACACAGGACACAAGAAAAGGCAGCAAATGTTTGGATGGCTGCCAGTTAGAACAATGTATTAATGTGATGAAATTTTAAAAAAAGTGCTTCTTAATGTAACCAGACACCCATTTATGTATACACTGAAAGTGTTGTCTATGGATGCCACTAATGGGGATGTGTGTGTAAACTTTTAACTAAATGGCTATTCAATTTGATAACTCCTGCGTAGGTTGTTGTGTGGCTCAGAAATATGCTTGCTACAGCTTATAATGGCAAACTGAGTATTTGACCGACAAACCTGAAAAAAACAGCTGACACTGTAGATGTGGATGAAGAGAAATATGACCAAAAGATGTTCAAAGTGCACTCACACTTTTGGACTCCCAGGAAGCATTATGGCTACCTATCCTTGAAACTAGAGACTTTTATTCAGATAGGCAGACTAGTGTTATCTTTCATTAGCCTGAGAATTTAGCCAAGATATCATTGGGTTTTGCAGGTTATTCACATGAGGGGAGAAACTGCCTGATGATAGAATTCAACATCTCTTTTGCTATACTCCTGCTTGAATAGTCCTCACGGCTCCAAAATGTTTTCACTGAACATTATGCCCTCTCTTTCTTAGTTCCTGCAAAAGGCCCTCAAGAAGTCATTTATCTTCTTATCTCCTCACTCTCTGCTTATTTATCTGACATCTTGCTTTCCTGCCTCTATCTTACAGATAATGTATCTCCATCATACAGTATTGATTCTCTGCATTTGCACTCTGTCTGTCATGAAGGCTGTTCATCTTTCACGGTTTAGCTTCTTTGTTATGTTCATCTGTGATTCAGGCAATGATTTTTTGCTGACTTTTGGAGTCTAAAAGCATCACAATTTGCAGGAAATCAAGTAAAGGTGACAGGAGGCCTGCACGGCCTCCTGGCACACAGGGGCATAGGACAACTTATTTGAGTTCAATTATGAGCACAAAAGCTCCTGACAAAACTCAAACACAAAAAGGAAGCATAAAATAGGCAAAAGCATGGACAGGTGATGCAGGAGAAATAGAGAGGCATTGTCTGAGTGTGCAGGGATAGGGTTAGGAAAGCCAAAATCTCCAGGAGTTGACCCTGGCAAGGGATGTGAAGGGTATAACAGCAGCAGCAAAAAGATGAGGGGAAATGGGGGAAGGGAACTGCTGACAAAGGACATGGAAAAGACCCATGAGTGCTGAGAGGGAGCTGGCCAATGTCATTTTGAAGCCACTCCTGACCATCCTTGAAAGGTCACGGAAATCAGGGAAGGATCTTTTGGGTTGGAGGAGAGGAAATGTCAATCCAATCCTCAAGAAGGGCAAGGAGGAGGACCCATTCAGCCTCAAGATGAAAATCTCAGACTTTCTAATTTTGATTATATATTTCATGATGTATTTCATGAAGTACTCCACAATACTAACTCAAGATTTTTTAAGGTGGCTAGTAATTTTTGGCATCTCCATATCTATTCTTACAACTTCAGACAGATTAAAGAGATGCAATTTTTCAGGAAATGCTCTCAGAATTTCTTGAGTCCTAGAAGTATCACAGAAAAGGGAATCACACTACTTTTGAAACTCCAGACTTCTATTCCTAACTTTACCAAATGTTTGGATACCTCATTAGCCATTTTTAAACTACATGAATGAATAGTTGCTGCCATTCTAAAATATCTATACAGAAATGTGTAAAAGCAAAACGAACAAGCAAAGCTATATGCATTGTTCAGTTATCTGTCCTATAAACAGACAATCATTTGTCTGTCTGTCTCATTTGTTCGAGAAGCCACATTAATTATACATATGAAGAGTTCAGTGGAGCAGAACTAGTATAGTACAAAGTATAGTCAGGCTTTGTACAGTAAATGGACAGACTCCAGGTCACTCTGGCAACACTTACCCATACAGTTCTTCATCATCATAAATCCACTTTCGTAACCATCAAAGCACTCACACTCAAAGCTTCCAGGAGTGTTGACACAAGTACCACTTCCACATAAGTCTGGGGAGATCCGGCACTCATCAATGTCTATTTTATAGTAATGGAGAGGTAGAAAAATCAAACACAGTTTAAGGTTGTCTTGCTTGTCACAGAAGTGAACACTTGGCCATTATAAATTAACTCTACAGAAATCATATATGTATATAAATCAACAGAGAAAAATGAAATTCATTTAATATTTAAAGGAATATCTGATCATGTGAAACAGTTTGTGAAAGATTCATAATGCAATGCCTTCAGAGCTCTCAACTATAGATTAAACTATGTAACAAGTAGGTGTCCACTAAGTGTAATTTAAGTTTAGATTTCTAAGGAAATTACTAACTGTAACAAGTTCTGAGTTGTTATTATTACAGAGGTACCAACTGTCTCCATGACTATAGCACCACTGATATTAAATTGCTTATTAGGAAGACAACTATCCAGTAATAGCATTATAAGCTTACATACACCCTTTCCATTAGGAATTAAAGTAGCTTCTTTGAAAGCTAGATTTACTGTTCACTGGTTATCTATCTTATTAGTTAAGTTTGAATGAAACTTACTGTGGAGGTTTGTAGCAGGTTTGTAGAAAGTAAAAAGAGAAGAGAAGGAAGAGCTCTTTGTAAGACACGTGGATAGTGAGGCAGGAAGCTAAAGGAATTTGTAATATGGGTATGATCCAGTGCAACAGGTCAGTGTTGAAGAAGAGGACTGGAAAGAAGAACTGTATAGCCTGTTACTTACTATCTCCTCATATCTTTCCAGATTTCTCTCTTCTTTACTCTATTGCCCATCCAGTGTTTTTGGGATGAACTAGGGTTTAATGCCTTTGTTTCATGTTCTCCACTATACCCTCTACCTTCAGCTTCATTCACTTCTGTGTCATTAATTTTTACATATTAAGAAATCATGAAGTCTTTACAGGGAAATAAAAAATAACAGAATATTTGAAACAATGAAGACATTAGTCCAGGATAGAGACTGGAATTAGTCCATAGGATTGGTTCTGTCATCCAAGAAGTCGAGGGAGCAAGGAATCAGAGAAGAGCATGAACATGTTCGTAGTAAGTTGGTGAGCTGGGCAGTAGACTCATTGTGTAAGTGACTGAGGAAAACTAGGCAAGTATAAGCTTAACTAAAGAAATTGCTAGAGATTTATAACAGTTCTTTTTTCCCCACATGCAAGAGTCTCTTTTGCCTCTGTGTCACTCCCCGTGGCCAGGTTTTGCTGGGTGAAGATAGTTCAGTCCTCACACACAGATGTGTAGAGGCGTCAGATGGTAACCCATGTGGTGGGCCTGGGATGTTACAGAGTATTTGGCCTCCTGCAGGCTTAATAAAACATTTTGTTGCTAATTTAAAACAAAAAAAATCTTCCATTTAATAAAACTTGGTTCTCTACAGCTGCTCAGTGGAACATTCTTATCAGAACAAACTTTCAATGGAAAACAGAACCAAAAAATGCTTTTGTAGAGAGAAGTTCTCTGACCTATTCTTGTTAGTTTAGAAATAAAGTTTGTTAAATGCATTTCTCATCAATGCAATCACTATAAAAACAAGGAAATCACTAGTTAGGGCAACATTAACAACCAGACCAACCTCGGTTAATATGCCTTACCACCCACACTTCGTATCACTCAGACTCACTCATAGACACCTGTGTGGTATAAAAAAACCTCCTTCATTTTCAGCACAGAGCCACCCACAATGCAGGCATCCAGGTTCTCATAACCAGAAAACTATCGAGCTTATCTTCTGTTTCAGTTTTTCCAGGCAGTAAATAACAAAATATTAAACTTTTAAATTAAATGCACATCTCTTCTTGAGTTAACGTTGCACTGATGTCAGAATTGCAGAGGTGCCTCTCTGTGTGCTTGGCTATCAAATCTAAATGAAAATTAATTTGCAGTGGAGCCTCTAAATTCATTTGGTAATACAATGACCAGAGAGTAAGGAACGTAAATTAAGTTAATCTGTATGTTAAAACATTGAACTTGGCTTCGCTGGTGATTCTTATTGATTTTTCAGGTCATACTGATAGAGCATGACCTTCTCATCTTTAACATCAGTTTAAAAAATTCCTAATGTACGTGTACAAGAAGAATGTTACATTTATTAAAGAATCATTTTCTGAAAGGGAAACTTAAGACAGTTGGCCATTCTGTCCAAAGATTAAGCTCTTAGAAACTGAAGGAAATTAATGACATTAAGTTTCCAGATCACCAAGCTACGCAACAAGTGCCAGTTCCCTTAAAATGCCCCAGGGACATGGTAAAGTCCCCATCACTGGATGTTTTCAAGATGGACAGGGTGCTAAATAATCTCTTCTAGGCTTCCTTTCCCACAAAAGGTTGGAGCAGATGATCTTTTGAGGTCCCTTTCAACCTGGACTATTCTAAGGTTCTAGGAGAAACTGGGAAAAATGCAAGACTTACCTGTACAGTTTCTTTCCTCCATATCTAAAGTAAACCCACTGTTACATCTACATTTGAAACTTCCAATTGTGTTTCTGCATTTACCATTCATGCACATACCAGGGAACACTTTACATTCATTGATATCTATGAAATAAAAACAAAAGAAAAGAGCATTCTTAAGCACAAATATATATAAAATTAATGGGGATTTCCTGTTCCTTCTTACCAATTGTATTGGGCGTAAAAGACAGGGTTTGGGTTGCAGGGGACTGGAAGGATGGCCTCCTCCTACACAGGTTAGGAGAATTGAAAAATGAAATGGAGGAGGCAAGCAGGAGGGGATGTTGTTGGAGACACAACTGGGGATGCACTCTCAGAAGGCAGAACTCCATGTCCGAGGAGGAAGCCCTGAGGAACTGCCACCCCTGGAGGACCTATGTCAGGGCAGAAACACCCCTGAGGGACCGCAGCCTGTGGAAGACCGACACCAGGGCAGGGACATGCCTGAGGGACTGTGGCCTACAGGTGAGCCAAGCAGGGGCAGGAACACCCTGAGGGACAGTGGCCCATGTAGGATGCATGCTGGGGCAGAGATGCCCCTGAGGGTTTGTGACCCACATGCAACCCCTGCTGGGATAGGAAGATCCCAGAGGGACCATGACCTGTGGGTGATCCATGCTGGGGCTGGGACATCCTGAAGGAGCATGGGCTGTGGACAACCCATGCTGGAGCAGGAACACCACTGAGGGCCTCTGTCCCATGGAGAAGCCCATGTCAGGGCACCGGAAATGAGTAAGAAGGAAGGAGCAGCAAAAGAAAACACTAAGCAACAAGGGGTGACAGAGAGAAACCGTCGCAGTGTCCCCAAGGCCCTGTGCTGCCAACTGCCTCATCCACGGGACTAGAGGGGCCAGAAACCAGAAAGGGTGGAGGAGAGGTGCTGGGCTGAAGCCAAGCCCGGGGGTAAGGGAGAAAAGATGTTTCCCTACCCGTTGAATTATTTATGCTTTCTTTTGCTTCTCAAACTAGTAATTAAAAGTTTACGTTAATCAGCAATCAACCAAACTCAGTGAAATTCCCTGAGTTGAGACTCTTTTGCCCATGATGCCAATACGTGTATTGTGCTCTATTTTGCTTTCTAACACAGTGAATATTCATGGTGTTCCTGAGCCAGCTTGTAAAAGATGTAACTATTACCTGTTTGATTGGCTTTTTTTTTCAAATTGAGATTGCCAGAGTGGTATATGGAGCTCAGTTTAGAAAAGGGTAATTTTTCTTCTGTAGAATATCAAATGAAATGTTTCACCTCTTCTAAATGCGTTTCGCTGGACAGTTGTATAACACAGACTGTTAAAGGATCTTGCATAGGACAAATAAAGGTTTTTCATGTGTCAGCCTCTGTCATATGCAGCCCCCTCAACAGCATTTACAAACTTGAATGAGCTTTTCTTACAGTATATGATGTATGATATAATTTGCTGGATGAATGTCCTTACCCGAGAATCACCTTTGATGAAACAAACTTCTACCTCCTATGTATTAGTGTGAACGGAAGAAAAGTGTGGTCCAAATACAAAAGCAGAAGCAAAACCTTACAAAAATCTTGGGAGTGTACAAGATTTCATTATTATTATTAAATAATTAAGAATCTATTATTTC